AGAACCTGTGTGGAAACCAAATCTTCAACCCGACTTCAATGTGAGTGTATTCGAATGTTTTGACACGAGCTCTTCGGCTGGGCTTCGAGAGCTTGACAAGGGCAATCGATTCGTCCAAAAATCAGCCGAATCGACTTCGATGTGACCGAGCTAGAGAATTCTCAAGTTTGGTCAGGACCACCCAAACCAGTGGTTGGTTTCGGCACAGCGTAGAACGCGAGCTTGTGGAAGAGGCGGCTCAGCACGCGGACGAGGAGCTGGCGGCCCGATTCCTCCTCCGTGCCCGCGTGGGCGTCCAGAGCCCGGGCGATGTCGTCCGCCGTCTGCTTGCGGTGGGCCTCGATGTCCGCGGCGTGGCGCGCGATGCGGTCGCGGATGATCACCAACTGCTCCTCGGGGGGGATGAGGGACCAGCGGTGGCACTTGACCCACTTCTGCATGCCCGCGAAGAGCTGCATGTTCGTCACGCGCGAGAAGAAGCGCGTCCACTTCACGCGCATGGCCGTGTGCGCCGCGTTCTTCGCCTGCCAGCTGCTCAGCGCGTACCGCTTCTTGCCGCCGACGAGGTTCCCAAAGACCTTGAGCAGGAGCTGGCGCATGGAGTGGGACGTGTTCTCGAGCTTCGCCGCGGCGTCGCGCGCGAGCGCCGCCTCGTGCTCGAGCACGAGCTTCTCGTGGACGGCCTTCGCGTCCGCGACGGCTTTCCGCATGTCCTCGACGCGCTGCTGGTCGCTGCGGTAGTCTAAATTGATCGTGTGCTCCTTCCACGTGTGGAGCGCGATCTTCAGGAACTTCTGGCACAAGGTGATGATGATGACGCGCATCTGGCGGAACTTGGACTTGCCGTGGAGCAGCTCCTCGATCTCCTCGTCGAGGTGCGCCTGCTCCTGGTGGTTCAGGTCCAGGATCGCCGTCATCTCCGCGACCCACTCCGCGTGGGTCGTCGCCGCGGACTGGTGGTTCATCAGGTTCACGCTCGCGGAGTTGCGCGCGGCGCCGCGGCGCTCGTTGAGCTCCTTCAAATTCGAGAGCTTCGACTCCGCGAGGCCCTCGACGCGCCCCCCGTCGAAGCCCGGGTCGAGCTCCCAGGCCTTGAGGAGGCTCGTCCGGTTCTTGGGCCGCGGCGGCGGCGGCTGGTAGTCGAGCACGGTCAGCCGGTTCAGCGCGCTGTCCGCGTCGAGCGCCTGGGCAGGAAAAGGGTGCGAAATTTCCAACTTCAGAGGCTCCTATCTCGGTCGTTTTCCACTCGTTTCGGCTGATCTTTGGACGAGCGATCATCTCTCGGAACGGTCTCGAAGCATGGATGCTTTTTCCGGAACGCGCGCGCGCGGAACACTCACGTTGAAGCGACGTTGAATCACCCTTTTCCTGCCCCGTCGAGCGCGGCGCCGTAGTCGTCCTTCTCCTCGTCGCCCTCGCCGATGGGCGCGCCGGCGCCGTAGTGGCCGTAGGGCTCCTCGTCGTAGGCGCCGTAGGACTCGGCGGGGCCGGGCGTCGCCCAGGCGCCGCCGCCGCGCGACGCGTCCGAAACGCCGGGCTTCCGCGAACCCTGCCACGGCGTCGCTTGGCGCATGGGCGGCGCGGAGCCCGGGCGGCTCGCGTAGGTCCGGTTCAGCGTCTCGTCGCGGTCCTGGGCGTCCCGCAACCGCTGCGCGGACCGCGGCCGCATCATGTCCCCGGGCGGCGGGTTCGACCACTTGGACCGCACGGGGTTGAGGCCGCCGGCGTCGCGCTGGTCCTGCTCGTACTGGCGCTGCATGCTCCGCGCGTCGCCGGAGCCCTCGTACCAGTGCTTCTCGCGCGCGTCGAGCTGCTCCTTCCGACTCATGGTCCGACACACGCGGACATGCAACGCGGCGCAGAACGGCGGCGCTACCGTGCTGCCCGGCGGGTGGGGTGATCGGCGCTGATCGACTAAGTACCGGGGGCAACGTCGTTTAAGGGAAGATGTCGTAGTGCACGTTGAACGACCTCGAGCCCCGCTCCCCATCATCCGGACGCCTCCGCCAACCGCGCTGACACAGGAGTTCGGCCATGGCGTCGGGCCGGCCGCTGCAGCTGATCCGCTGCGGCGACGACACGGATAACTACGCGTTCACGCTCAACGAGGCGCACCTCGACGAGGTGGGCAGCCCCACCCCCCCCGGAGCCACCCCGCCGCACGCCGAACCCCCCCGCAGGTGACGGGCAAGGTGCCCAAGGGCACGCGCGTCGCCGTCGTCTCCGTCGTCGGCGCCTTCCGCACGGGCAAGTCCTTCCTGCTCACGCTCATCCTCCGCTACCTGCGCCACGCGGCGCGCGTCGGCGACGGCGACGTCACGGACGCGTGGCTCACGGAGGAGGGCAACAAGATCGTCGAGGGCAACAACAACGCCGGCGACGCCGGCGAGGGCGGGCCGGCGTCCTTCGAGTGGCGCGGCGGCCGCGTGCGCATGACGACGGGCATCACCGTCTGGAGCGAGCCCTTCCTCGTGACGGGCGCGGACGGCGAGCAGCTCGCGGTGGTCGTGCTCGACACGCAGGGCCTCTTCGACAACGAGACGCCCATGGGCCTCACGAGTTGCATCTTCGGGCTGAGCACGCTCATGAGCTCCTACCAGATCTACAACGTGTCGAACCGCATCCAGGAGGACAACCTCCAGCAGCTCGCGCCCGTGTGGAACTCAAATCTTCAACCCGACTTCCATGTGTGCGCAGTCGAACGGTTTGGACCAAATTCTTCGGCTCTGCTTCGAGAGCTCGACGAGAGCGATCGATGCGTCCAACAATCAGCCGAATCGACGTCGATTTGACCGAGATGGAGAGTTCTGAAGTTTGGTGGGGACCCCCCGAACCAGTGGTTGATTTCCACACAGGCTCGCGCTCTTCACGGAGTACGGCCGCATGGCCGTCGACGCGCAGGCCCAGGCGTCGACGCTGGCCAAGGAGGCCGAGGAAGCCCACGCGGAGAAGCTGCGGCAGGAGAAGCTCGAGGCGAAGCGCCTCGCGAAGCTCGAGGCGCGCAAGTGCGACGGGTCGCACGCGGCGTTCGATGACGGCGACGACGAGCCCGAGACGCCGGCGGCGCCCGGGAAGGACGACGAGGCGGAGGCGGAGGCGCCGCCGCCCTTCCAGCGCCTCGAGTTCCTCGTGCGCGACTGGAACGAGTTCGACGACGACATGTCCGACGACGACATGACGAAGATGATGGCCACGTACCTCGAGGAGGTGCTGCAGCCGCGCGCCGCGGACGACCTCCAGTTCACGCGCGAGCAGATCGCCGCGTGCTTCACGAAGCTGAGCTGCTGGCTGCTGCCCCACCCGGGCTTCGCCGTCACGAAGAAGAGCTACGACGGCGCCGTCGGCGACATCGAGCCCCTCTTCAAGCGCTGCGTCCACGGGCTCATGAAGCACGTCTTCTCCGAGGGCCTCGAGCCCAAGCTCATCGGCGGCGCGCCGCTGAGCGCCGCGGAGCTCGCCAACTACGTGCGGGCCTACGCGGGCATGTTCGCCGACGGCGCCAAGTTCCCCCAGGCCCAGACCATGCTCGAGGCGACGGCCGAGGCGAACAACCGCAACGCCGCGGGCGCCGCGCTCGAGGCGTACTGCGAGACCATGGACGCGGCGTGCGGCGCGCGCGCGGGCGTCGAGTACCTGGCCCACAAGGAGCTCAAGGCCAAGTTCCGCGAGGCGCGGGACGGCGCGCTCCTGGCCTTCGACACGGCCGCGACGATGGGCCGCAAGGCGGCCATCGCGGACGCGCGCGCCGGCCTCGTCCAGGGCAGCAAAAGAGAGCGAAATTCCCAACTTCAAAGGCTCATATCTCGGCCGTTTTCCACTCGTTTCGGCTGATTTTTGGACGAGCGATCATCTCTCGGAACGGTCTCGAAGCGTGGATGCTTTTTCCGGAACGTTTGCGCGCGGAACACTCACGTTGAAGCGACATTGAATCACTTTTTTGCTGCCCAGGCCTCGTCCGCGAGATGGACAAGGCGAAGGACCGCTTCCGCCTCATGAACGACGCGCGGAACCCCTTCAAGAACGCCGAGTTCTACGTCATCCCCCTGGCCATCGCCACGGCGTCCTGGATCATGCGCAAGGTCACGGACACGGTCTGCCCCGAGGACGGGTCCTTCGTCGCCAACACGTGCAATCGCGCGGAGGAGGCCCTCGGCAAGCTCTACGGCGGCATCGTCTTCCTCATGCTCATCGCGGGCTACAACCGCTTCAAGGGCCTCAAGAAGTACATGAGGGGCGTCATCAAGCCCCTCCTCGAGGCCGCGCTCGCGGACGACGCGAAGTCGGCCTAGCCGGCCCCGGCTCCGACCCCCTTCCCCCCGCCCCGTAAAAAGAGCGAGTAGCCACGCGAGGGCGGTCACACGACGATGGACGACTGGAGGCGCTCGCGGCGGACGACCTCGTCCTCGCTCTTGAGCCCGAGGACGGCGTAGGTGTCGGCCTGGTACGCCTTGGTGCAGTTCTTCGCGGCCGTCGTCCGGAAGTCGGGGCGGTGGAGCCCGTAGGCGAGGCGCGCGAGCTCGACGACGGCGTCGGCGAGGCCCTGGACCTTGCCGCGGTCCACGTCGCTGAAGGCCTTGACCTTGAGCGTCCGCGTGCCGCTCGGCGACTCGAGGCACTTGACCTCGATGGTCTCCGTCGCGATGGCCTCGTCCTCGTTGCCCTCGCCGCCCTCGTCGCCCTCGTCGTCGCCCTCGCCGCCCTCGCCCTTGTCCGCCTCGTCCAGATCCAGGCGGTTGATGAGCTGGAACGCGCCCAGGCGGTGCGGGCCCTCGCCCTGCGCGGTGTGCGTGATGTCCTGGATCGTCGCCTGGGAAGAGAGATTCAACGTCGCTTCAACGTGAGTGATCCGCGCGCGCTCGTTCCAGAAGAAGCATCCACGCTTCGAGAGTGCGCCGAGGGATGACCGCTCGTCCAAAAATCAGCCGAAACGAATGGGAAACGGCCGAAATAGGAGCCTTTGAAGTTGGGAATTTCGCACCCTTTTCCTGTCCTGGATCGTCGCGTGGCCGACGATGGGGCAGGCGATGACGGACTTGGTGCGGTAGCCGGACGTCTTGTCGATGGCCTGGTTGAAGCCCGGCTCGAGGTAGGCGTCGGGGATGTTCACGAGGCCCTCGTTGAAGGACCGGCCGACGAGCCCCGCGGTCTGCGGGATCCGCACGTAGGCCTTGGCGTCGTGGCTAAAGTCGGAAGGAAACGCCGTCGCCCAGCGCGCGATGAGCTCGTCCTTGTCCGCGTCGTGGAGGAAGATGGTCAGCAGGTCGCACATGCACTCCTCCTTGGCCTTGTGGACGAAGACGTCGAGCAGCGCGCCCATCGCGAGCGCC